AAAAAAAAAAAAAAAAAACCACCAATCCCGATGCTCTCCTAAATTGGCGGTGATGAACCATACAATATCTCGATTCTAGCTGTACCAAAACCCCGCGCTAAACCAATCCCAACTGTTCTTCAAACCCCAAGAAGAACGGCACAGTATCCCATTGGATGACTATCTAATGGCGCGCACTTTTCCAGTGTCTCGGGAACTCAAAAAGAAGGAAAAGAGAGACCGGACCCCGGCACCGGCTTTTGTTGTTTTCTATGCAGAGAGGAAAAAGCTCACCGACGGTTATAATGGAAGCGTCATATCACCTTGTCAGAATGCCATATCCAAGGTTATTGCACCTCTCAGGTTCGTCTAGTACCACTATTTAGAAGAACAGACCCGATAATTCCCTCAGTAAAGACGGCCCTAGGAAATAAGCTCAAGCCTTACGCGGTCAGGCACCATCAGATACCACCCCTGGTTTATTACCATGGATAGCCCAAGGACTTTCACATCGTCATGTTCCCCAGTAAATAAACCAGCATTCTGTAACGTTTAATGCCTCTTTGTCGTAACTATTCGGCGAATCGGCTCAAGTCCGTCGTATACCTGGTAATCAACACGGCAAAATAAGCCGATAGTTTACTTATATGGTCATTTATTTCAAGTTTTCTATTAAAAATACTATTTATGTTGATATGTACTCTGCTCTTTAGTCCAGTAAATCCATCGCTCAAGGACTCCGGCTCTGAGAGAGCGAGCTACCATCTCTCCATTCCAGTCCATCCGACTCTCTTCATCTACATCTACTCCATCTTACTAAAAACCCATCGTGCTTGGTGCTTTCGCTCCGCAGCCTCTAGGTCCTATAGCAAAATCAGAAGCAAAAAGTAGTTTCCAAAAGTCAAGATAAACAAAAGAAAAGGAAAGAGGCTGTATCTATTCTTGCGTTGCTCTGTGATCTTTATGCCATCGAATGGGCAAAAAGATGTATCGTATCTGAACGCGTGACAACAAGTCAAAATCCTCGTATTTGAGGATATAAGTTTCCGCTGCAAGGCAACGTGAGGAGAGTCATTTATGCTTTGTTCATCTGTGTAATCTACACTTCATCGTACTCGTACATATTCTCATACAGCTGGAGCTGCTCTATCCAACCTTTTAGCACGCTGCCGCTTCCAACTCTAGTGCTGTCGTTAAATCATAAACCCTTACTCGCCCTTGATGTTCATCTCGCGAAGCTTCCACTCGCCGTCAACCCAAGACTGTTTCTCTCCGAGGAAAGAAACTCGGCCTTCACCCTTGGTCAGTCCATCGACAAGGTAGCGTTGAGCCACCTCTTGAACCTGATCCTTGGTAACATCCAGAAGCTGCTCACGCTTCTTCTGCTTCATCTCTTCGGTAATACCTGAGAGGAAACGACCCATGCCCTCTTGGTTCACAGACTTGGGCGCATCAACTCCTTGGAAAACAGAAATCTTGGCCTCCTCCAAGTCACGGTCTGACCACTTCTTGTCAACAGCCCACTGACCAGCATTGCGCATAATGCTCAGAGTGTTCTGAGGGTTGGGGTCTCGGTAAGAGTAGAAGCCGAAGAGACCATCCAGAGCTCGAGAGTAAGCACCGCCGCCGTATGCGCCACCCTTTTCACGGATCTCGTGATGAAGGTGCTTGTGTGTCAGAAGCTGTGAGAGAATCTGAAGTGGTGCACCCTCCGCTGCTGTGTACGAGGTAGTTGGCACCGCCAATCCACCGTAGTAGACTTGGTAAGGCAGAGGGTAGAATGTTTTGCTGTCCTTGGGAAGCTGTCGGGGTGAAGGGTTCTTCAAGTTCAAAGGATCGCGAGACAAGTTGCTGACGAAGTTCTGAAGAGAAGCACCGTTTGCCGCAACACTCTCAGAACCACAAGTGATGGCAGTGCGAAGGTTACCACCAGCAAGTGCAAGGTTCTGGATCTGCTTCAGCTTGGAGATCACATCCTCAAGCTTGTCAGTCTCAGGGCGGCTGGCCAGAGAAGTGATCAGCTGCACTTGAGAAAGACCGGAAACCTGCTGTCGCAACCAAGCAGATCGAGTGAGGCCAGACTCTGCGCTTCCCATGGCAAATCGGTGGCCAGTAGAAGCAATATCGTTGACAACACCATCGGCGGAAGCCTGGAGAAGCTGGCGGATTCGAAGGGCTGCCTCGGGGCTGTCAAAGTCGGTACCCAGAACAAGCTTCTGAATGATATCAAACATGACAGGGACGTTGTGGTCCAATGCCATACCAGTGAAGATGATACCCTCACTAGCAGCATGGAAATCGGTAGGAGATGGTGTGCAGTGGTATCCTACGGAAACACCACCAGTCTTGAGCTTGATCAAATCCTCAAGCTGCTCCATGTTCAAATCCTTGGTACCAAGTCGCATGATGCTGTCGGTAAACAAGGGGACCAACTCACGGAGCTCATCAGGCAAGTTCTCTAGCGTGTTGATAGCACGGAAGTAGGTCAAGCCGTTAGTGGGAGCCTCGTGCCATTGAATCTTGGTTCCATTGGCATTCTCGTCTCGGACAACAACAGGCTCTTTGCTTCGAGGGATGTCCTTGACATGAACAGTTGGCAGGCATCCAAGATCTTCAGTGTTGGTCTTATTTTGCTCGACCAACAAATCCGCCTCTTGTTTCTCAAAATGCTTTCGCGCCTTCTCCTCACTTCCAGCTTCCTTGATCGCCGCCTGAATTCTGCTTGACAGTCTCTCCTGTTCCTCCTTGGCCAAATCCTCGCCGTAGGTTGTTGATGGGGCCATGGTGAAAGTCAAAGTGTTGTCATTGAGGAGGTACTTGTCGATGAGGCTCTCCAGGTAGTTACCCTCAGCCATCTTAGCTTGGAAGCCATTGATGGTATCGTTCCAGGCCAATGAGTCGAAAGGATCCACGCCGTTGAACCACTTTGGCTTGAGGCGGTTCAGCATAGAGAAACCAAAGTTGGCGGTCTTGTGCTTGAGTGACAACTCCAATTGGTGCAGCGAGCCGTCAATCTTGGTCTTGTCGAAACCCTTGTCACGGGCATCTCGCAGAATCTGCTGGACCTTTTCCTTGAGCTTGGGCACATCCGCCTCCGTGACACCGGTCAGACCAATAGAGAAGATTCCCTTCTTAGCAGAGCTATCATAACCAGCATTGGGGCTCCAATCAGCTCCCATGCCAGCCTCAATAAGACCACGGTACAGAGGAGAACCATAACCGTCCATCAACAGGGTGGAGAGAAGGGCCAGAGAGAAAGATTCGAGAACATCGGTAGTGTCGCCCATAATCCATGAGACAGAAGTCTTGTACTGGCGATCGGGGTCGACAAGAGGGTCGAGAGGACCGTAGAGAGTCACCTCCTTGGGGCCGCTAAGCGTGACGGGCTCGTGAATCTGCTTGTCGCCTCGGATCTTCTCGAAAGCTTGGAGCTGAGCATCAACCTGCTTCAGGTGGTCGACCAAAGGCATGTCACCATAAGTAAAGACCTTTGCGTTGCTAGGATGGTAGTGTTCAGCGTGGAACTTTTGCAGTTGCTCGTACGTGAGGTCGGTAATCTTTTGGGGGTCGCCACCGGAGTTGTTGATGTCGGGGAAGATGTGATCGTGGAATCGAATGTAGTACAAGTATCCAGCATCCGACATTTGTCCCTTCATCTCGTTGTAAACCACACCCTTAAATACCAGCTTCTTGCTCGCCTCATCCTCAGCAAGAGGGTTCTCGGGACCAATTCGCCAACCCTCCTGGGTAAAGTCGGACTTTTTAAGCAGTGGGTGCAATGTCGAATCGAGGTACACGGACATGAGGTTCTTGAAATCTTGCGCGTTAGTTGTCGCGAAAGGATAGAAAGTATGGTCCGAGGCTGTAAAGGCGTTCATGAAGTTCGATAGCGTTCTCGGCAGCATCTTAAAGAAGGGGTCGCGAATGGGATATCTATACTGGTCAGTCCAGTCCCTGCATGTTCAACAAGGCGTCGTACTTTTCGCTACCGCATAGAGTCGTGTGCTCGAGAATATGAGGAATACCGGTATCATCCGGAGGATTCGTCTTGAAGCCGATCGAGAAGACATTGTTGCTATCGTCGCGAGCAATATGGAGATAATCGGCGCCCGTCTTGTCGTGTTGAAGGTGTAAAGCCGTCAATTCAAGCTCAGGAACATGCTTGGATCGAACAAGGGTGAAACCATGAAGCTTCTCTCCAGGCTTTGGGAACTGTGACAGCTCCGTCACTGCCTTGCGAGCGCCGGCGGCGGCGTTGCGAAGCATTGTAACGTATAGGAATTAAAAAAGAAAACTGAAATAATAATACAATAAACTTTGAAGAAATAGTGTACAAGTCGTCGAATCCAGAACTTTATATAAAGGAGATGAGTAATGTCGTCAAAGAAGCGACGGAGATTTTGCTGCACGTAATGACCCGAGAAAAGTGGAAGGGTCTGCTTTGTAACCCCAGCGCTATCTTCAAGGAAGGCCCGGTCCAGCCCACGTCAGTTGCCAAGGCTCATGCCGTAATTGTGGGTTCTCCAGTGGCACCGTCAGTGAAAGACCACTGTGGGATAGTGAAGGTCCCTAAAATTACAATAGTCACAGTTGGTGCATTAGCAGAATTACCAGACGATCTAGCCCGAATCTGTTACCGTGCTATCATCTTCAACCAAGCACCAAATGGCCCATGGCAAAACCTATCCATGCTCCAAGCCTCAATGAGCCCTCCATCCTGTCACATCTTAGCGAACAGCATTCTTCGATGACCAACAAGCCCTGGCTTCTACGCTGTGCGCCTTTAGATCTACCATAGGTCGCACCGTCGTCATTGCTCAGCATTGATACACATTGCTATTCCACTGTACCAAAGCCAATCGAGGTACGAAGATATTGCCTCCTCAACCGCTCAACGTGCCTGCGCTGCAAGTGTATTGCATGGTGGACAATTCTTGCGTGAGCCCAACTAACAGCATCCGCTCGTACCGCAGCCGATATCCAACATTTCTCTGCTTTACTGTTAGACCATTATTACGATTTCGACCCCTCCCGAACCCGGTGACAGTGCCTCCACCTGCGAATAACGACATTCATCCCGCTTCGATGACCCCGGCTCATCCTTACCTCGTGACCCCCGCCTGAACGATTGTCGTCCGTTGCCTTGGCCTCTCATTGCTCAGTTGGCGATGCCTACGGGCCAGTTGGACGAGCATCTAACTAACGGGCACCACGGTCACGCTCATCCACCAGCATCAGCCAAAAAATCTAAAGGAAAGAAAAACATGCCCAATGACGAGGCTTCGCGCCTGCTCCATGCGCGTATATCGCAGCTGGAGCAGGATGCTGCGGGGGAGAAGGATCAAGAGTTGGAGATTGGTGCGTTGTCTACCAGCGGCGACCCCCAGGCGACGAAACGATAATGCTGATACGTGGACGCTACAGAACGTGAAGTGAAGAAGGCGAACCGAGATCTTCTTCAGCAAGTCTCTAAGATGGACAACATGCAAAAGATCGATCACCTTACTCAGAAATCTAGCCAGCTCCTGGCCGATATGCGACGACTGGAGCGTGAGAATCTCAAGAATAAGAGACGTGGAGATAATTTACAGAAGGAGAGAGATGCAAGTCGAAACGAACTCAGCAAGACCGTTGGCCTTAAGGAGAAACTGGAGAAACTTTGCCGAGAACTGCAACGAGACAACAATAAGATGAAGGTTTGTTGGAACTCTATTCGCAAGGTACACTGGCTAACTTGGCCAGAACGAGAACAAGGAACTTCAGACAACCCAAAAGCGAAATAATACTCACTGGGACGAGAAGTACGCTACTCTACTATCGAAATTGGAGGGATATCAGGAAGAAAAGGATACGCCAAAGAAACAAGTGGTGGATATGGAGGTCGACGAACTGTATGCAACCCGATCTATTATGAGTTTGCCTGCTAACCTTGTACAGCTTCCGAGTCCGATTCAAGTCTTTCATCGAGCAATATGAGTTACGGGAACTACATTTCCACTCGCTAATGCGAACCAAAGAATTGGAGGTTCAGTACCATATGGCGCGTTACGAACGAGAAAAGAAGAATGCCGAAGCAGAGTCGACTAAAGCTCGACATCTCCAGGCGCAAGTTCAAGCTTTCACCAAGACAGAAACTGAACTTCGGAATCAGCTCAATGTCTATGTTGATAAGTTCAAGCAGGTGAGTGGAAATGATCAAGACAGTTCGGTCTGTTGACTAATGGCACAGCAGGTAGAGGATACCTTAAACAACAGCAACGATCTGTTTCTATCGTTTCGCAAGGAGATGGAGGACATGTCTAAGAAAGGCAAGCGATTAGAAAAGGAGAACGAGGCTTTGAAGCGCCAAAAGGAAGCGACAGCCGCCAACATCATCCGAATGGCCGAAGAACGGCAGGACTGGAAGAAGAAGACGGAAACCGCTGAACAAAAGACCGAGAAACTTAGGAGCATCATCCAACAGATGCAACAACAGGGCCGCAAGGTGCCATCCGGTATGGCCAATACTGTTGAGAGCGGTTACTCGGATAGTCATGGAGGACACGAGGGCGACGAAAGCGATTACTCCGACGATGGCGAAGAAGAACTTAGCGAGTTCGACGACGATACAGAGGAGGAAACCCAAGGCAACGAGCAAGGAACGCCAGTAGCATACGGACCAGAGCGTCCTCCTCAGCCGGTGGCCTCGGCCACGACAAACGGGCACTAGGAGGCCACTCAGAAGGAAACTCAAGCTGTAGCAACGACTCAACCAGCGGATGACATAAAAGCTGACGATCTGACCTTGATGGCCGACTACATTAGGGGCATGTCAGTTACGCAGCGCGATCGGCTTCGTGAAGCCATGGTTGCGTATTTCGAAGCACAAAAGATCGAGTAGTTGGCTATTCGGTTGGGTTTCTTGTTAGAGATGCTTTTGTTTCGTTTGCATGTAAAGTATTGTCGTAGCTTGGCATTATTCAACTTGGACGTCCTCGCTCTACTTGAAGCCATGTGCAATGTGAGAAATGTGTGAAGGTGAATCACTAGATTAAACTAGAGACAATTGTCAATGACACGACTGTCAATTGATGTACTCTGTATAGCAATCAGTATTACTGCGATTTATGGTGCTACCTACAATTTGAGTTGTGGTGTTGCATCCTATCGGGTTATCGGGAATTATCCCCCGACGTGCGTTAGGCCAGATCTACGCATCCCACTTTGATAAGCCGCGTAAACGGGGGCCTATAGCTTCTATCTTACAACTACATCCAAGGTATACGGTTCATCAACAACACCGCAACCATGGATTTCCTTCAGGTAAGTTGGTCTCATGAATATGCGTCGCATTCTTTTATTTACTCTAATGACCAATGGATGCTAACTCTTACAGCGCCTCGCGCGCTTCCTCGATCGCCCGCTCTTCCCATGGAAGAAGCTCATCATGGGCTTCTCAGTCGGCCAATACCTCTTCGAAACCTTCCTCACAGCCCGTCAATACCGCGTCCTCCAGAAAACCAAGCCCCCCACCGTCCTCTCCAAGGAAGTCTCCCAGGAAGTCTTTGACAAGTCGCAGGCCTACGGTCGCGCCAAGGCAAAGTTCGAAATCATCAACGGTCTCTACTCTCAGGTTCAAAATCTCGCCTTTATGCACTTCGATGTTCTTCCCAAGCTTTGGTCCTGGACTGGTGATCTTCTTCTCAAGTGGGCTCCTGCGCGCTTCACTGGAGAGATCAGCCATACTATCGTCTTCGTCTTGACTTTTACTGTCATCAGCTCGCTTCTTCGTCTTCCTTCTTCGATTTACCAGACTTTTGTTCTTGAAGAGAAATTCGGGTTCAACAAGCAGACGCCTAAGCTCTTTGTCACCGATATCATCAAGACCCAGGCTCTCACTTTCGTCCTCGCGCCTCCTTTCCTCGCTGGTTTCCTCAAGATCATCCAGAAGACTGGTAACTCGTTCTTCTACTACCTCTGGCTTTTCGTCATTGCTCTCCAGGTCTTCATGATCACCATCTACCCCGTTGCTATCCTTCCTCTGTTCAACAAGCTGTCTCCTCTCGAGGATGGTGAACTCAAGACCAAGGTTGAAGCTCTCGCCGCCAGCCTCAAGTTCCCCCTTCACGAGCTCTACGTCATTGATGGAAGCAAGCGAAGCGCCCACTCTAACGCCTATTTCTTTGGTCTCCCCTGGAAGAAGCACATTGTCATCTACGATACTCTGATTGAGAAGAGCGAGCCCGATGAAGTTGTTGCTGTTCTTGCCCACGAGTTGGGTCACTGGAAGCTCGGCCACACCACCAGTCTCTTTGGTATCTCTCAGGTAAGCACATCAACTCAATCAGCCAAGCATGCACTAACAATTATAGGCTCACTCATTCTACATCTTCCTTCTCTTCTCTGTCTTCATCAACAACCACTCTCTGTACTCGTCTTTCGGTTTCCTCAAGGAGCACCCCATCATTGTCGGATTCATCCTCTTCTCTGATGCTCTCGCCCCCATGGATCTCGTCATCAACCTCCTTATGCACATTGTCAGCCGCAAGTTCGAGTTCCAGGCCGATGCTTTCGCCAAGCAGCTTGGTTACCCCGAGCAGCTCGCCCGCTCTCTCCTCAAGCTTCAGATTCAGAACCTTAGCACCATGGATGCCGACTGGATGTACGCCAGCTACCACTTCTCTCACCCTCATCTGTCTGAGCGACTCAACGCTCTTGGCTGGAAGGGATCTGAGGCCATTACTGAGGGTGTCGCCGACAAGTCTGAGAAGGAGGGTGTCGTTAAGGCCAGCGGTCGCGACGAGTTGTAAACCTAGAAGGAACAACATTAGATTAGAGATTTCTTGCTAGATTCTGAATGAACATTGCTAGAATCGGAAATGGCCGGGATGGAGCTGGAGATCTAGAAAGGATTGGCCGCCCTTAGACAGGATAGAACCAGATTCGTGTAAAATACAAACTGATTTTTATTGCTTCTATTCTGGCATCGCTACCGATATATTCTTGAGTATTCAAGTCTACCTTAGCGCCATTTACGGTCCTCTAATCAGATTCATCAGAATCGTATGATCCTTCAGAACCTTCTAATTCCTCATCTTCCTCGGACGACTCTTCCTCCTCACCATCCTCAGGCTTCAGACCATAATCATCATGGAAGTAGCTGAGCTCATGTGTCTGGACCTTGTAGCCCATCTCCTTGAAGGAAGCCTCCATGCCCTGCGAAATGTTAGTAAAGGTTAAGAAATGATTAGGGGAACATACCTCTTGCATGATCTTGGCGGCGGTGACAACAACATTGCTCTTGCCGGGCTCGAAGCATGGCAGGACAGTCTCGCGTAGAGCAGTCTTGATTTCGTCGATGGTGACAGCTCGTACACGTCGCAGCACCTCCTTATCCCAATCACTGGGAAGACCGCGAACAACACCTTGCACAAAGTTTTGCTGAGCAGCACTAGGCATGGTAGATTGCTCATCAGCAAACATGACAACAATCTGGCTGATGGTGCCCTCAAGGAGGTGGTGATCAATTTCGACTGTACCGTCGGCAATCTTGCTGATGGCCTCCTTGGATGCCTTGATGGCCTTGTAGGCGTCTGGTGAACGGTAGACGTTGTACGAAATGATACCAGAGTTGATGTCTCTGGAGAAGTAAACACCGTAAGCGTAACCAGCACCTCGAACAGCGTTCCAAAGAGGACCTTCGGCAGCTTCAAGGTAGCCAATAGCAACCATGATAGAAGCAAGTCGAGGATCGGTGTAGGAGGCCATGCCTTGAGCTGTTGACACGGAGTAAGAACTCTCAAGAGTGGTCATGGGAACGATGACGGCACCAACCGAGCCAGGGTTGCGACCTTCATCGTTGAGAAGGCTGACAGGCTTGGGAATGTCGATCATCTTCTCAGCTGGGGTCAGAGATTTGGAGAGGGTGTCCCATGTAGTCAACGGGTCAGGCAGAGTAGCGAGGTTGGCCGTGACGAGGAAACGCAAGTTCTGGAAGGTGAAAAGTGAGTCGCGGACAGTGTTGAACCAACCGACAACCTTTTCAGGTTCCTTCTCGAGAAGCTTCTTGAGTCTCTTCAAGTACACGGCACGAACAAGCACGCGCTTAGCCACAGCCAACGAGGATTTCTCCATGTGGAAAGCAGCGCTGACCTCACTGGCCATAGACTTACCGTCACGCTTGGACTCAGGAATGTCAGCGAGAGCCTTGCTGACACTAGCCTTGAGACGCTGAGGATCGAAGATGGAGTCGAACATCATGGTGCGGATCCACTCGACAGCAGCAGCATACTTCTCAGGTTCAACCTGGAACTGAATCATGATACCGTCGGGGTCACCAAGGTAGCGGGCGGAGTTGAGAGCGTAACTAATGGTATCTCGCTCAAGCTCCATAACGACCTGCTCAAAGCCGACCTGCTTACCCTCGCGCATGATGTGTGTGTTGAAGAAGTTGTCGCTGAAGATGGGCATCAGAGGCTTCAGCTCGTTAGGGACCTGAGAGGTACCAATGTGGATAGAAATGTGAACAAAGTTGGTAGGAACGTCCTCGAACTGAATGAACAGGGGCAGTTTGCCTTGAGTTGTACCGTCGATGACCTTTTGTGCGGATCCACTGCCCAGACCGACTGAACGGGCATGCCCAGAGCGAGCAGTATCCGACTCAATGAAGTGAATGGAGTCGGTACCAGGAACACTCCAACGGTCAACAACCTCGGCAGGGATAGGCTCATCGTTCTTCTTCTTGGCATCTTCGAGACGCTTAGCAAGTTTCTCGAGACCCTCAGCGCCGAGGTCTTCCTTGCGCTTGGCGATGCGAGCTTCCTCATCCTTCTTCATCTTGGTAGCCAACTCATTGGAAGGCTTGCCGAGAATAGAGATGTGAGGAGCATCAGCCATCCACTTGCTGAGGAAGTCTCGCCACTGCTGGTCCTCCCACTTCTCCAAAACATCATACTCTTCCAGGTTCTGCAGATCTGCGAGAGTAGAACCATCACGCTTACCGAAAAGGTAGTCGGTGATGATGTTGGTTGCGTAGAAAGACTCGGAAGTTTCAGCGTGGTACTTGACTTGACGTCTTTCACGGCGGATACACTCTCTCATGTAGTCCATGTCGACAGGCTTAGAAGCGACCTCCTTGAGGAGTTCGATAAGTCGCTTCTCGACAAACTCGAGCTTCTCGGTAGCGACACCTGTGGGTTGAAGCCAGATAACACTGTTGGGTCGAGGATCGGTCCAGTAAGAGACCGAGCTGGCAAGCTCCTCCTTCTCGACCATAACATTCTCCAGGATAGAAACGGAAGAGCCGCATAGGTAGGTAAGAAGAACGTTGAGCGCAGAAGAGTTGATAAGATCCATGCAGTCGGGACCGAAGAAACCAACAAGGACCTCTCCAACTGACTCGTCCTCCTCTGGGAATTCTGCAGTCACAATTTGAGTTTCTTTGATCTCGGGAGGCGAGGCGGAGTCAATCCAGGGTCTACATAGTCAGTAAAAGTACAATATACGCTAAAGAATGGCTTACCGCTTGAAAGGGGTATCGAGAGAAGGAATATCATCCTTGATAGACTCCTCAAACTGCTCAAGAATCTGGATAAGTTCATCCTGGTTGACTTCTCCGACAAGACACAGACACAGGTTTCGTGGTTGGTACATATCCTTGTGGAATTGGCGAATACGCTCAGGAGTGAGAACACGGAGAGCATCAGTCATACCACCAGTTTCATAGCGGAAACCAACGTTCTCCGGGTAAAGGAGACGACGAGCCTTGAGGTCCATAATCTCAGAACTGCGGAACTGAACGGCTTGCATCTCGGAGTAAACAACACCAGCATCATTGCCTTCGCCGTCAATGTGCCAGACTTCAGTCACGATACCTTCATCTGTAATGGTAGGCAGGATGACATGTTCGAGATAGACGGGCAGAATCTGGGCGAAACCATCCCAACCAGCAGTCTCGAGGGTATAAGCTGTGTGGTCGGTAGCAGTCCAAGCGTTGGTGTGAGAGTATGCTCGAGAAGAGAGCTTGTCGAGGAGACCCTTGTACTGGTAGCTCTTGGAACCCATGAAAACGAGATGCTCAAGAGTATGAGGAGCACCTGAATCATCAAAGATCTCAGTGGCTAGGGTGAAGTAACCATTGAGCTTTGGGCCCTTGCGGTCGGCAACAACAACCTGCATACCACTGCGTTCTGAAACATATTGAGTGATTGTGCAAGGAGCATAGTCGGTCTTGAAGCTTTGAATCTTGCGGAAATGCGACTTGGCCGACATCTTGAAGGGTTTGAGGCCTATGAGGCTCCAAAGAGAACTACACAAGTTAGTATGAAGCAATTTGAATGAGTTTCTGAAAGCCAATGTTGTGGTGGAAGTTTATAGAGTTCAGACGGTATGACAGCGCATGACAGATACAGCAACAAAGCATAATCAACAAGATGAAAGGCAACTGACTCGATACTTGTGGCTTGATGAGGAAAGCTTGACGTGAGAAAATAAGCGGCAACGCTGAGCAAAGCAATTATCACAGCAACAGCATATTGAGATAACGATGAGAGGGTGACATCACGACTAAGAAAGTAGGGGCTTATTGTTCCCGAGTCGGATTAAAAGGAGCCTAAAGCTATAGAAAGCTTGGCATAAATAGCATCTGACAAGAAACAATAGTGATAGCTTCAAGAAACTTCTTGAATACGAGTTTCGGGATAACTCTGATATACTTGTTCGTATAAAGATTGTCATACCCAACCAAGAGGAAAAGACCCCGCCATGAAGAGCAACGGAAGAAGAAACAAGGCAGACAAGGCAGAAACAACAGAGAAGCTGTGACACACAATGCAGTCAGACCGGAAAGAAACTTTTTACTTACCTTCGAAGAATTGTTGCGGTAGGTAGTCCAAGGCTGAGCTGTACCGTTGGTTGCTGCAAGTAAGAGCAGAAGAAAGCCCGAAGAGCTGCGCGATGAGGGGTCCAACCAAATCAATCTAGCGATGGGCTAAAGTGAAAATTACCCCGCTATCAAGGCAGCACAGCTTGTGATAGTAACCACGATAGAACAAGAACAGCTTCACGATGGTGTAGAGAAGATGGGATGACAAGACTAGAGGGAGGGATCATATAAGTATGCAATAAGCAAACAAACATGATTACTACCAGCTTCCATGTCTCTAATAATAAAGCCTATTATCGGTATAGTAGCTTCTGTCTCACATGTTCTAACCACTAATCTCTAACCACTAAACTATCCGGGTATAACCTCAAAGCACACAACACAAACAAAGCAGTTATCCTACATTCTTAATCTCGGCAGGCACGGTCCTTTCATATGCATCTCCTTCCTATTCATGATCATAAGAACAATACAATCGGAAGGTGGGCTTCAAGAACAATACCTAAAGATGGCTTGAGCTTGTCATTGATTGGCTACACAACCGCTAAGCGCTTGGACCAGCATTTACGCCACGCTGTAGTGGCAGGTGCGTATCCGTAAATCCAATTGGGAAGCTGCAGTGCTGTCATGACGGCACTGGAAACTTGCCAGCTTGTGGCTGATCGCTCCTGCAACTTGCGTCAAACAACAACAGCTCATGATTAGAGCTCACATCAACCATGCGAATAGTGATTCTCTGTGTCTAGATTCGATTCAATTGTTTATTCCTGTACAAGTGACGAATACTCGTAAATCAAGTTAACGTCACCGACTCGAGAAACACACCTACAATACACGTATAGCTTCAACTCGACCCTTTACTCCACGATAATCCCGATCAATCTTACGAAATCCCGACCCTCACGATGGCCGCAACTACAGAAGCGCCGCAGAAACTAAGCGACGCTCTTGTCGCATTCTCCCTCGAAGGTCGTTTCCCCGACGATATCTCCGTACTCCCTCCTGTTTCCGAAACCGATCTACAACCTGCGATCCAGGCTCTGGCAGAAGCCAAGCAAGGGCTGGAGGTATGATTCCGTTGAACGAATAGCCATCAAACATGATGCTCACGACGCTCACAGGCCGAGCTACACACCATCAACCAAGAAACGAAACAAGATGTCGATTCATGGGTTCGGAATTCAAAAGCCCTGCAGGAGGATATTTTCCGCTCAAAGGCGATGGCCAATGAAATCGAACGACAATCTGAGGCTCCCGATGTCTCTGGTGAAGCTGTGCAAGATGCAGAAGAGAAGGCGGAATTCTTGAACCGAGAAGTTCAGTACAGCCAGCAGCTTCACGATGTGTTGCAAAAGATCAAGCTTGCTGATCAGTCTTTGCATGAGATGGAGGAATCTTACCAAAGATCTTCCATTGAGGATTCAATAGTTTTCCTCAAGAGTACGTCCTTGTATCCTTTCGCTCAATATCTTGCTAACTATTCGAAGTGTTCGAGAAAGCTTTTGATGATATCGGTGTCAGCAAGTCTTGTCGAGTGATGAAGCTCTTGAAGCTCCGAAGTTCCGAGCTCAATTCTGCTGTTCGTGAGATGATCGACCATCATTGGAAGACATTGGTTAACGCCGACATCGAAACTCGCCAATTCACTATTCACAAGGTGATCGAGGGTAAGAACGTTGTATCTCGAAATGCCACCACTACTAACAAATGTTAGATGAACATGGAGAAGTCCAGATGGACCTCTTAGACGTCGCATATGGTCTGGAGAGTTATAAAGAGGTCGATGAGCATATGGAGCAGCTGTGGCGAAACTTGGATGCTACAGTTATATCGCCTCGCATGGACATCAAAAATACCACTTTTCCTTCAATACAGGAATATCAAGATATACTTAAGCTGTCCGGCGAAGCATCAAGATCGGTCGACGCCCTGCTTACTGATTTAGAAACGGCATTCTCATGGGTCTCTCAAAAAGTCCCCGAGCTGGTTTTTCCGCCATTAGCCAACTTTATGGTGGCCGACGTGATACCCAGACTCATAGGAGAATGGTTGGCTCCCGCTGTGCCCTCATCATTAAAGGATATGGACAGCTTTCAAGCCATGGTCCAGAGGACTCAAAGGTTTTGTCAGTTGCTCACTGAGTATAAGTACACCGGTTTGGAAGATCTACAGAACTGGGTCGACAATGCACCATCAATATGGCTTGGGAAATGCCGAGAGACCACTCTCGACTCTGTTCGATCAAAGTTACTCGGTGGAATCGGAGAGTCCAAACAGGTCGAAAAGGTTGAGAAGCAGATGGTGTCAATCGCGGAAGGAAAAGAGATCACCAAAACACCAGGAGGCGCTGGTGCAACTGCCGAAACTGCAGATTGGGGTGATGCATGGGGTGATGCATGGGAGGAAGATAACGAGCAGCCTAAGGAGACACAACCGACACAACCTACAAAGGGACCAGGTTCTACCAAAGCCGATGAAGATGACGGAGCTGATGCGTGGGGATGGGACGAAGAAGATACCACTGCCGAACCCAAAGACACGAAAGAAGCTACCGAGAAGGATGATGAGGATGATGCTGCTGCTGCTTGGGGATGGGGTGACGAAGATACTGTTCAAGAACCAGAGCCCGCAGCCAAAAAGACCAAAACTGGAGCTCACGAGACTCGAGAGCTTGTTCTCAAAGAAACTTACAGTGTTTCGTCTATGCCTGAGCCGGTTCTCGAGCTGATTCAGGCTATTCTAGAAGACGGCGCTGCATTGACGAGGGATGATGTGGAATATGCTCCAGTTGCAGCTACAGCGCCTGGTCTATTCGGTTTGCCAACGTTTGCATTGGCCTTGTTCAGAGCCATCTCGCCGTATTACTACTCTCTGAGCGAGGGTGGCAACATGTAAGAACATCGACTTGTTGAGAAGGCACTACTGACACAAAACAGGTTCTTATACAATGATGCCATGTACCTGGCAGAGCGACTCTCCGAGTTTGCTGATGCCTGGAAGAAGCGCGAAGACCTAACGCCCAGAGCTAGGAATATGCTACGGCTTGACAACGATGTCAAAAGTCTTCAGAGCTTTGCCAATCGCAGTTACGCCAACGAGATGAACATCCAAAAGACTATCCTCCGTGATTTCCTTGGAGGAGCTCAAAGTCTGATGCAGCAAGATGAAATGGAGTCTTGTGTAGAGTTGGCTACGGGTCGTATCCGCGCAATGGCTTCTGTCTGGAAGTCTATTCTAGCTCGTTCAGTTTGGACTCAAGCTCTGGGTTCTTTGGTTGAAGCTGTCGCGACCAAGCTTATCACAGATGTCCTTGAGATGTCTTCAATCGGTCAAGATGAAGCCTACAACATCGCCAAGGTCATCGCCACTGCTACAGAGCTGGACGACCTTTTCTTACCCAGCGTTTTGGCAGGTACTCCAAGCACAGGGGATGAAGTTCCTCAAACAGCTCAGTATGCACCCAGCTGGCTTCGTCTCAAGTATCTGAGCGAGGTTCTTCAAAGCAACCTTAATGAGGTTCGCTATCTATGGTTTGAAAGCGAGTTGAGTCTCTACTTTTCTGCTTCAGAGGTTGTCGACCTTATTGAAGCTAGCTTTGAGTCGAATCCTAGAACAAGGGAGACGATTCGGGAGATTCAATCCAAGCCTGCTCCTGCGGCTTAACGATAAGGATGTTTATTTAAGATTTGGATTAATAGAAGCATTTACACCATTAGAATTGAATTACCATTGCTACCAATCGACGAGGTTCTGTTTTACTTGATGTGACTCATACGTATAGCTCTAGGTTTCGTCTCAGGAAATTTACATCTCCATCTCATGGTCCTGATATATTGACAACAGTACTTACAGCAACCTCTCTAAATAAGTTCAAAGCATCTTATTACACTCTTCACAGAAGTCCGATGCATCTCTACTGAACATGATGACATATAAGAGTCGTTGTCGATACTTACAACCACTTTGAATCTGCTTACCCTACACTAATTCTCAACCACATTTGAGAACGAAGAAGAATAGTCACAACGAGAACAGGTTTCACACAACATTACTTCTCATAACTGAGCATATCAAAAGCTATGAGAACTATGAGGATATCATTTCTCCCTCTTCACCAACAGTCTCATGAAATACAACTCAACACAGCATGCCAACATACAACATATCAGAAACCCCCAACAGTTTCATTCAACTTCACTCACAACAAACATATGACTTCTCATAATGACCTCCCTCAACACGACATATCACATAACACAAGTCACACATCGGTCGAGTCTACATCGTACCATGCTGAGCTGATTCACCAGTAACTTTGCCAACGTCATGTCCCTTGAGGTGTGTGTATGACGACAAAAACGCCAAGGCACCTGCAGATATCTTTTTCGCCCAGTCAAATTCAGATTCCGGGAGGCTGCAGCATAACTACCTCGGAGAGAAGCGGACGTGACCACGGGAGCTTGCAGGACGAGATTGCGCATTCCTATTTCAGGTGACTGTGTTGTGCCAACGCATTCGAGGGAGATGTTTGTCCAACAGAGTTTTCTCGTGAGACGGCGGATGAAATTCATGCCTAGAGAATCCATATTCCATGTTGGCCGTCGTTTGTTGGTCGATATGGATTGGATTGGCTTGTGCGTATATTTGATCCAGCAAGCATGAAATGAAACATGCTATAAGAAGTCTGTGTGCCCATGAATAGTATATTACTCGCCGCAGCCGTAAGCGATCCGCGGATTAAACAAGAAGCAGAGGACGCAAGATGGTCCACGTAGCTTAGAATAGCATTGAAACGGCTTCCAGAAGATATGGAGCATAAAACACCAAACAATGTCGCACAGATCCAGAAGGATTCAAGGCAGAATCTCAAGTCGGGCTCAGATTATGCTTGTTAGCTCGCCAGGCTAAAGAGACTAGAGACCTTCATAATCGGACCCCCGATGAGCTGAGGATGAGGCCCCTTCCATCTCCCTCAGAACTCACTCTAGGGTCTCAGCATGAGAACAGATGAGATGGGGCTCGAGCTCTTACTCGTGGGTCTTTTGCCTCTGTCCGGAAGGTTTCCAGAACCTCCGGTAAGGTCATAGCTTTACTCGAGTTCATTCTCTCTTCCGCGCTCCCTGTAAGAGTCTGGGATATCCATGAATGATTCCCATCCTTTCTTGAAGCTAAGTTGTAGTGAGTAACTCGTCTGCTTCCTGTCCTTGATAGTTAGCCCCCAAGTCATGCCATGTTCAAGGATGTACTGCCACTACCAAAATAGGTGTAAATCCGCTGTCATCCCAACGGAGTTATGTACCTACAAGGTCCACCCCCGCACTAGGACCAACCTCTCGGAACCGAATTCGCCGTTTCACATATCCCAGGCTCTCCGTAGTAAGGGGGAACCCTACCAGATTCCCTCTCAGCTACTCACTCTCTAATGGATTTCTGTAGTTATGTCTCAAAAAAACTCAAAACAAATTGACTGGTCTTGTTCGCCGCGTGAAACGTGACCACGTAAATATGCGAGTGATCCGGTAAGCTTGTGGGAGATTAATTTTATGCACTGATCACGACATGCCTTGTTGTTGTCAATGTCAATCAAAGTAAGTGCCGAATCCTCATGTATAGTGATGGCAGGTAGATAGGGGTTCAACATGTGCTGTCCGACTCATACTGTACGATCAAGTGCAATCTTGTACATCCAGACTGTCACTGTAAATCAGCCTCCGGTTGGCGTTAGGCCTAGACTAGTGGCGGACCGTCCAACACTTGCGCAACTAGTTTTCCAGAGTAGATGACTGATAGTCGGGTCTCTTGACAGTTGACGTGGCATGCCAGTACAGTCAGAACTGACCTCTCTGTGGTGAGGCTGAGGTAAACACTCATAAAACTCCAACGACATGTGCTCGATTGCATCACAAGACATGACTGATCACGTCGAATAGCCGAGATATGTCGGCGATAACTCACCTGCATCTGGTTGTAAAGAGACAAACAGAAAGTACATAGTATCAGCCGACAGCATCGAGTTGATATCGCACAAGGTGAGCTCAGTACCACCGTGAATTGTGATAACCACTCATCTTCGTTGGGCTCGACGCCGTGGCTATACAACTCGAATTTTGTCTGGACCGTTCGGTCTCACGATGAGGACAATAAGTGATGTTAACGAGTTGGTGGTCACTCGAAACACATGCATAAGTCTGTCCATGAGGTTGGACATCACCGCACTTGGATATCAACCGCCCTCTCACAAAATGCATACCGTAGACACGGCGCCGGACACGCCCTTCCGATCTTGTCTTTGTCCGCCGCCCTGCGCCGTCTGCACCTCTCCAGGAACGGGCATGCATCGCAAACGCCTTCACTGACCTCGCCGAACTGATAATCACAAGTAGGGTAACAAGATGTGCCAGGAAAAGTGACCTGTCACTATGTAAGACAACACATGGGACCGGCCCGAGCCAGGACTAGCGATTCCGTACATAGCCTTTTAATAAAAGACCATATACCACTGGCTTACACATGGCAACACCATCATCGAATTTTGCCAGCGCAACCACCTACTCGAATTGTCCAGCAAATGAGACCTGATATGCACATCGCAAGGGACCAAGGTTGCCCTCGTCAGCCCACATACAGCAGCACATCCCCAGCTGATCAGACGACTGAGTAGCGTATATCATAGGCTGTGCCGTAGGTGCCTAGACGATTGTGCAGATCGACAAGGCTGGGGGACGTTATCTGAATGCGTCTGATAGTGTAATAGATGTATGCCAGCACACAATGCGCTTGGTTAGCACACCTTGAACTCCAGGAATGTGCAAATCTCAATTATCGACGGTTGAAATACCATCATGTCGAATTGCAACATATTTGCTTCACCATGCATGCATGAACCAGCCATTGATGGAACAGCGGCACAATGCCCGTCTCAATAGGCAGCCAAGCTTGTCAGACAGTCTGATTTGTGACAATGTCGGGGTCAGATATGGCTAAAAGTCCGCCATAATGATACCTCGCGATGCCTGTCTCATTGGTGCTCTGTGCCGACCTTTGGTGATGCAATAGCTGACTGGTCATTGTCTGTGGCTGTACAACGCATAGCTCTTGTACGACAAGGCAAAGGATTTGGACGGGTGGGCCTGTGTAATGAAGACAATCAAACTATCTGCACCAACAGATCTGGCCCAGCCACCGGTGCTGGTGCTGACATTAATCACTGCGCACGCCCAAAGGCACTAACAGCCAGCAGCCCAACGCCAAAATAGACGTCAAAGTCGCTGCCTTCAGGGATTTCGAGGCAGGGGCCTAAGAAGGATTCTAGAAGGCTGAGCATCGAAACGAACAGCACGTCAATACCCTGACAACCCTCAGGATTGAGCTAGGGGCGTTCATGGTCCCTGAGGGTTCGAAGCAAGGTATGTCCACCCATGGTTCTTCGTCTGTTTCAACAGACATTAAACTCGCCGAACGCTCAGATGTCTATATGTTTTGCTGGTATTAATCGTATTCAATCTGGACGAGACGACAGTTGAATTGAGTTCGGCCCACTCAATATTGTCGTTTCAACTTAAATTGCCAAGAATGTTGATACAGTGCTTTCGAGCCCCACTGATTCAGGTACAGTAGTTCAAGTTGTTGCTTCAAGGACACTTGTATTCAATTCGTATTGTAGTCTGCTGCTGGCTTGATTGAGATGCAAATCCCACAGGTTCTGCCACGTAACGCAGCTCATCATTGCCTGATGCTGCGAATTACGCATTCGTTCTGACTCAAGAGGTCCCTGAACGCACTTTGCCGACGAGCTAAACAGAAACAGTCTGTAACAAGGTGCTGAATTTAGGCTCTAAATCCCAAGTCTGTTGAGTGTCACGGACGCTAGTAACCAACGGTACGCTTTGATGTTGTAGGACATTCGCGGAACGGGATTGGTCACGATAATTCAATGTTGAAGGGCCGTATTCTGTCTTTTTGATACTGATATGGAAGCGATGTACCATAGTTATTGAGATGTCATAGCAATGCCGGGTCTATCGGTAGGTCTCGATATACCTCTGACTTCCCCATGACAATCGCGAGAACCCCTTGCTGCACATCAATGATGTGCAGCGACGGCTGGCCCAAGCGTTGGTATCAGCAAAGGGGTGTCCCGCTTGAAATGGTCACCATCTGGCCCTTTGCAGATTGTTCCTTTGGAAGGCTTCCGGATGAGTTTACCGGATGATTGATCCGTTGAACTCGTCGGTGCGATGTTCTGTAAATGACCTGTCTATTGTTGAGACTTGTGGATGTTCAGAGCAAGATACTGTATGTGCCGGATACTAACCCTGTCGGCAATGGTTCTCCCATCAGCTTGGTTCAATGAAAGGCGCAGCTATACCCTGTCTGGCCCCTCTGCAAAAGGAATTCACCGAGGTCATGTTGGTAATCTTTTAGTTAGACTGCAGACCTCATCTCGCATAGCAAGGGCATACGGGTCTATTCGAGTCATCGTAGAAGCTCAATACATCGCCTATGCCCCGAGCGTCGAACCCTGTCCATCGTTATTGACGGATACCTCGCTTGCGTGCTGTGCAAGTATCTCCATAATCATCGTTGATACAAGCATCAATTGCCTGATACCGTAACTCTGCCGGCGGCCTCTACTGGGACCTCACTGCAACCTCAAGTTGCAG